TTTCGAGGGCATTTCAGCTCAATTCAATTTCGAGTTTCTCTTCCACGATGTGCATGGTGTTGAAAAAGTGATGCTCTTGTAAGGGCAGAGGGAATAGGTCTCCCACTGATACACTCTTTGCCTCATCATTTACTTTCCCTTCTGCCAGAGATACTCTGTCTTTCACTCCCTCTTTTTTATGTTTTGAAGTGCTATTCCTCAGTGTTGTGTGCCTAATTAAAAAGCACTTACAGTTGTTTCTGGTTCAAGGTTGAAATGTTGCTATCTCATCATAGAGAGCTAATCAGATCCCTTTTCAATCACTGCTTCTTCTTAATGAAGTGCTACAGACGGTCAATGGGACTGCCTGCCTGTCTGCCTGGTGTTTTATTTTGTTCTTTTTTGGGGTGGGGGTAAGCTGCTAGGAATGGAGAATGCTTGCCATTTTGCAGGGGGGGGGGGGGGGGGGGGGGGGGGGGGGGGGGGGGGGGGGGGGGGGGGGGGGGGGGGGGGGGGGGGGGGGGGTGTATGTGTGGGATAGAGTGGGCTGTCAATTTCTGTCAGGCGCTGAGGTGTGTGTGGCAGTGAGTCTATGGCAGGGAGAGCGAGGGCGGGGGGGTGGTCGCTAGGCAGGGATTAACATGATCAAAGACACAAATGCAGAGCCACATAGGAAAAGTAAGAGAAAGGGAGAAGAGCCATGCAGGGCTCCCCACACACCCCTCCTTCCCTTCCCCCTTTCCCATAATAACTCCCATGGAAGAGATGAACCGTAACTGAACCGTGGCTTCCCCTGCAATTCCACCTCTGCCTCAAACAACTATCGATTCAGAGCAACAAAAATGACAAAAACAAACATTGGATTCTGACTGTACATGCAACTATACGTGGCCTATCGATGTTAGCATGGATGTATGTACACACTAAGATCTGGGGTTCCAGCAAGCAGGGCACATGTAGAGGGAGACAGACAGGAAATAAACAAACAAGTCGGCTTTAATAGAATTGTACCTGGAGCCCCGAGGACACACACACACACACACACACACACACACACACACAAGCAGAGCATATCAGCCGGCATGCTAATACTGCCAAAGGGAAGCCAAAACTAATAGCGGAGACATTAAGGAAATTATCCCCAGGCTGATATGTTTTCTATAGATGGCGACTAAACAGAATTGCTATATTTATCATACTCAGGGAAACAGAGGGAGAGAGAGAGACCCCCATGCACACTCCTGTCCCTCTCAGTTGTCCCCGGGAGAGTGATGAGCGTTGCCCCCGGGAGAGGGTGCAAGTTACTGTTTCAATGTATGAGAGAGTGCCTCTTTGTGTGTGTGCGGGTGTGTGCCACCAAACATACTGAGTCCTCTGCGCTCCACTCCCACCCAGCCTGTCTTTGAAGTAGCAATGCCACAATTTAAAAACATCAAAGTACAAGTGCAGAGGTATTAACCTTTTAGCACCAGTTGATGCTCCTGTGACACGCTAGCACTACGTGGAACTTACACAGACTTACGTGGAAGTGAATACGAACATACTGATAGATTATACTCGTCACTAAAAATAAACCTGGTACAATTTATGGCGGAGTATACAGCTTACACTGTGGGTGTGGAAAACACATTTAAACCTACAGTAACTGACTTTTTGGCTATTTGGGGCCAGCGAAAACAAGCTGTAAACACAACGCTGACATTATCATGTTTTACACAGATATAGCAATCAGTTGCCCACTTACACATCCTGCTGATAGAGCAAGACTATCATTCATTTGGAGTCATGTTTTTAGCCACAGGATGAATGTGAGTCCAAATATTCACTCTTCTTTTATCCTTTTTTAGAATGCAAAATCTTAATCTGCAAGGTAACTAGTATCTACAGCAGTACATACTGGAAAAGGCATAATAATATCATTAAAGTAGCGTACTGGTGGTAAAGAAGTCAAATTTCTGCTGTAAATTCAAGAGTTACATTCCAACTGTTACTTAATGCCTTAATGTGTAACTTCCACCCTTGCTCCTACTTCTTTACCCTCATCTCTCCACCCACTCCTCCACCCCCCCCTGCCCTTTTCCGGCTCTCCAATTAAGCATCAGCAGCAGGTTTCCATCAGCCGTCTGGCCGTCTGCAGCAGGACTCTTCGGAGCAGAGGCCTGTCAGGAAATGAACTCATCACTGGGTGACAGCTGCTAATTTCTCTCTCTTCCATGTCACACGAGTGGCCTGCTGCAGTTAATAATGAGCCATCCAGCCCTGATTAGGGATATAACACGAGGAGGGTGGAGATGCACACAATACTGTACACAATCACTCAGCCAGACATGTAGAATAATGTGCGAGTACAGGCGCAGACGGACATTCCTATTGAGGACAAAAACACCAGCACACACAGCGAACTGGGGATGTTGGTGGAGGGCATGAACCAAGCTCAGCTCAGGTTCTTCACTTAGTGGCTTGCATCAAAAGGTGCAATACAGTAAAATGGTGAACCTAGAGATTGGAGTCTACACAAAAAGAGCATGTTAGCTAAACACTTACAAAACACTTATATGTGATACAGCATGATTGCATGAAGATTTAAGTGTCTCCATTTCACAAGGAGAATCTGGTAGCCTATTTCTGTTTAAATTTTGAGTTATTGAAATCAGTGGGTCCCAGCGACAGAAAAAAAGGGGGGGGGGGGGGGGGGGGGGGGGGGGGTGATGGATGGGTCGGGGAGGGGGGAGGTTTCGGGGGGGGTGTTAAAGGGGAACTGTACTCATTTTCAAAATTCATACATGCTATTCATATGGTCTAGGACAGTCCAAAAATATTAGAAAATATGAACAACTCTCTCCCAAATCCCAAAACTAGAGTGGTAAAACTCACTAAAACTCAAACTTGTGATGTCATTGGGTACAAAGTCCGGAGCTGCTCTATAGACAATGAATTGGGTTCTAGATCAGTGGTTCCCAACTGGTGGGTTGTGGTCGAAAAGTTCCATTGTGACAGGACCGCAAGTCTCTTGACAGAGACAGCAACCTAGCTCGGTAACACATGGCCAAAAGCAAGTAGGATCCTGAATTTATTAAAATGTTTGGACCTTTTTATACACCATTTATGTATAAAAAAGAAAACAACATTTTGCAGGTCCACAATTCTGTCTCCCATTCAATGTCCATTATCCTGGGCCCTTTGTTGTTTATCATATATATAAACAACTATGGAAAAAGTACTTTTCATTTCTATGCTGATGACACTGTTATCTACTACTCTGCTCCAACCCCAACAAAGGCCTTTGAAAAGATTAACTGACTAATTGATTAATGGAGACACACTTTATATGAATGCACCTGCTCATTCTCTTCACCTGTTGGACATTGTGTATCACAGGGCTCTGAGATTCATTATGAACTGTGCTTCTCTCACTCATCGCTGTGTTCTCTACAGTAAATGAAAATGTTCATTGTTGTCTGCATCATCGCCTCAGTCACTGGTATATCTTCATTTACAAAGCAATTTTTGGGCAGACTTCCTTCTTATTTAAGTTCACTATTAACCTGGAAACAAGGAAGTCAGAGGAACAAAAGTCAGAACAAGCTTCAGTCTGAACTACATTTACACACACCGATTCCTTTGACTGATTTTAAAGAGAGAGTGAAATCATTGGAGTCTAGGCTTTCAGTCTGTAAATGTTTTATCTGATTGTCTGAGTGTTTGTTCTGTGTTTGTTAATGTTTTTCTAATTATTGTCAACTGTAAATATGTGACTGTATCACTGCTTTCTTGACCAGGTCTCCCTTGAAAAAGAGATCCCCCATCTCAATGGGACTAACCTGGTTAAATAAAGGTTAAATGAAGTAGCACATGTTCACAAATACTGACTTAACTTTCCAAGGCCATGGAAATAACATACTTGAATTCTTGATTTAGGTGGTGTTCCCCTTTAAGTGAGTCAAAAGCCAAAAAAGGTTGGAAAGCACTAATTTAAAGAATACATCCATTTTGCAGGTTAAATGGACTATTTTAAATATTAAACCCCCTCCAACCACAACACATACACTCACTGCTGTTGATATTAATGCTCAATAACATACAGCAATTTCAAAACAGACTATGGTGATACATTCTATAAATACAAGGCATTCAAATGTTATTGCATCTTTTACGTCTCACTTGGTGTTAAACTTGTGTTGGCGCTCTCAGGCACGTATCGATGCTCAAACAGAAAGCGCGACCTCTGTTAAATGTTCCTATCGTTGCTGAATGGAGGAAAAAAGAAGCATGAAAAGACTGTGTGAGTCTCTAAATGCAACATGGGGCTGAGAGCAGGAGACAAAGACAGGCTGAAATGCAGACAGGTGTTATGTGAAATTACAGGCTCCCTTCTCTCTGTGTGGTTGTGGATTTCACTGCTCTTTCACTTCTCTCTGGCCTCACCTCTCTCAACATCCATCTGTAATCCTCTCATTTTTCCTGCCTACTCCTCCACTGCTTTCACTCTCAGCCCACCTTCGTGCTCTGCGTGCACGACGCATGTGTGTGTGTGTGTGTGTGTTAAAAGGGATGATCTTTTGATGCCCTCTGTGTGTATGAGTGCTTTGTCTCTCTACTTTCAGCGGTCGGCCATTGTGTTTGCAGCCGTCATACTGCTCTCCCACTCACTCCATCAGAAACCAGGCCTGTGTAGGGGCCTAAATGAATATTGATTCTCCCTCCAGTGCTGAATACTGCTGGGGGGAAAAAGGATGAGAGTGTTGTATGCAATGAACAGAATGGGCCTGATGGGGTTGAGAGAAGAGAGGATGACGATTAGGATGATGGTGATCATGATGACGATAATGATAATGGTGATGATAATGACTGTGTTAGTGATCAGCAAGCATGATGGGAGCCATCAGCTGATGCATGTATGTGCATGTTGCTTGTATGATGACGCTGTGCGGCACATGTAATCGCAGTATTGATGCTGAAACGTGTGCTTGACATGACAGTTAACCGCAAATACCACTAAGGAAAAAGTCTGGACACAGTTGTTAAAAATTAGACTCAGTCTTTATTGTCAGAAATGAAACTGCAGTGACGGTTTTTAGAGCTGAACTTACAAACAGCTGAGGGGTTGATGAGAACCTGAAATGTATAATGATCAACTCAACTTTATTACATATATATCATATGTAAGATCTGTTTTGGAGATATTCAAAATCCGTCAAATTATTATTTTCATAACTAATAACACACTAATCCCTATAAAAGGATGGAAAGACAAAACTTAAGGAAGCAGACAAGAATTAACAAATCATCGTGTCATTGTCAAAATTCTAACATTACAAACAAAACTTGTGGTAAACAAAGGTATCATAAAGAAAACAGAAAGCAGATTTTCCTTTGTGATGAGCCATTTGACCTTCAGAATATTAGATGCATTTTCAAAAACAAAAATATATCAGGTGGAAATATATTTAGTTTCTTAGGTTGCATGGCATTAATCATGTGGTTATTATAGTCTTGGTGGTTGTGAGGATTGCAAGTTAACTCACTTAGCACCAAAACCCTTTTCTTTCAATGTCCCTCTGAATAGATGATGTTTAACCTGAGTTTGTGTTGCCCAAGAGAATATAGTAAAAAAACAAAAACAGATGTGATGTTAAAAAAACAACAGCAACAAAAAAAAAAAACGGAATTAAACAAGGAAAACTGAGATGAAATGATGAAATGTACCTTATTTCATTATTCTCTCTCCTCTACTCCTCCAGAACTATATTATGAGGAGCTCCATCCAGATAGACCACCATCTCTTCTCCAGCCTGCTGCTCTGCCTGCTGCACCTCCCCGTCACCTGCCCCAGCCTCTCCATACATGCCTTCCTCCACCTGTAAGGTGCAGTTGTCCAGCTCTGTCACGATGTAATGCGTTCCTTCGTCGTTGACAATAACCTGCGTTAGACCTTCCTTCATCATCTGGGATGCGGCAAGCTGCAGCACCTCTTGCATCTCCTCCTGTCCAGCCTCCTGGATGACCTGCACCTCCTCCTGTTCCTGTTTCACGACCGGCTGCGCTTCGCTCTGCACAGCCTCGGCTATCTCAGGGGTCAGGACCTCGTGAACGACGGCTGCCTCCCCTTGCATTTCCTCCTGATGGCCCATTTCGCTGACGGCGCTGAGGAGTGCATCCAGAGCTGTGGATGACTCGGGAACTATGTGACCTTGTCCTGCGACTGCTACCCCTCCTCTAGCCACAGCCCGCAGCTCTTTCTTAGCCTCCCCAGACTCCAACACCACGTACTGGGTGCTGCCTCCGGCCAGGTGGGCCCCTGCGGACGCCACTTCCCTGCCTGAGGCTATTACTTGCCCGTCTTCTGTGATGTGGAGCACCTCCGCCACCTGGCCGGCCATGGCCAGTGTCTGCAAGGTGGCAGCGGCTGACTCTTCCAGAGCCTGGTCGATGGCCACGTCCCCGTCGCCATAGCCCTGGATAATGATGACCTGCTGGATTGAGTCATCGTGACCTGATACCTCAGATGTGCTCTTATGGTGCACAGGTTCTGGTTCTGCTTCCACAAACGTAGCCCCCTGACCCTTGAGACGACACTCGAAAGACTTGGACACGATACCTAGGGAACAGAGAGACACAGTCGACATTACATTTCACAGTCTGGGTATTTTACTGATACTTTTATTCAAATCATGGACTGCTAAAACGAAAAGAAAAAAAAAATGAGTAGAAAGGTGAGGGATTAAAGCCCTTGACATCTACCTTCAGTAATGGCATGTGTTATAACAATTAAGTATAGAAAGAAAAGACAACAGGAGCCATAATGAGAGATAGAAGGGATTTTTTTTGTCCAAACAGAATATAAAAGGAAAATAATTTAGTGGCAAGATGGTCGGGATCATATCCAAGAGACCAAAAATAGGCACGACAATTACTGCACATACAGTACCACACTTGCCTGTTTATATTCATCCTCTCTCTTAATGTTCTCGGTAACCACAACTGTTGAACTTACTGTGTTTATGCATCCATCACTGTGAGAAAAAGCTATAAGTTAGTTGATATAAAAGGTGATGTAACACTTCACATATTTGTGTCACTTAATGCACGAAAGGAGACAGAATATGGAGATATTAGGCTGGCGGAAGAGTGTGGTGAGATACGGCTGGTGCTAATTGAGCCACACTGTGCCCTCTCAGATCACAGGTTGCCATGGCGTTTCCAAGGTGATAGGAACAGTGTTAGAAATGCCATTGTTTAAACAGCGCCTGGCTCAGACACTTGTAGGCTAATCTATGCAGAAAAATGGGAATTTGAGACAGTGAAGAGGGGACTCTGTTCACACCTTGGCTTCTAAGCACAAATGAACTTACTGCACAAATACTGGAAAGCACACACATATTATTGTGGCGGGAAGACTACATTGACCCTCATTTGCAATGTTTTAGTTTCACTTAAAGGTTTGCTCTTGGAAGCCTGTAGATTCTGCGACCCTTTGGGCTCACGTTACCCTTAAAAATATCAAAATCTTGCTAAAACATCAACTTTTTTGGGAAGTAACAAAAGAACTTTTGTTGCTTTTAGCTCATTTCCTGAAAAGTTGAAGCTTTGGAGGTTTACCCCCTAGGGTAGCGACAAGATCACACAGATCTCACAGTACATACAGGAACAAACTCATCAATCATTGATATTCCTATCTCCCCCTGACATTTAATGTCCTGAACTCACAAGGTTGACAATGTGATCAGAAAGTCAGAGTTGTGCTGCAAACAGTCTCTGACCCAACTGTGCCCTGTCCTCCTCCAGTGTAAACAGACACAGATATGTGCTAGCTTTAACTCCTGCTCTGATTGGACAAGTAGGCAGTGACCACAAGTCCTTTGGTGACAGCAAGCCTGTTAGTCCTGCACAGATAAGCTATCAAAATGGACTACCTGCACAAGCTTGTACATAAAGCGCTGGAGGAAACAGTGAACAAATTATGTGTTCAGTGAGTCCAACATCAAAGTGAGCTGTAAAGACCTGAACTGACGGAGAGTGCAAATGCTGTTGTCAAGGAACACACCTATTGTTCTTTATTACTGTAAGCAAAGTTAAGCCTGATTTATGGAAGGGTGCCTGACACTTTTGATGGGTGTCACTCAACAGGAATATTGTATTTTAGACAGAGAAAAGGTGTCACTCGACACTTTCTTTTCATGTCAGGCATCTGAAGAGTTTTGTTATGTCATAGAAACCATTACATTTTGTCACGCAATGGGATTGGGTAGTCACGAGTGCCTCTCTGACACATCTACTGTGTCAGAGAGGAGTGTTTTGTGTGTCCTACCATGGGCAACATAGCGCTGGATCCAGGTGACCACATCATTAAAACGGTTGGCAGATATTCCGAAAATAATGACCTTCATCTCCTCATCCATACCCCTGATTTGTTGGACCAAAACATATTCACCCTGTACCTCACTTGTTTGGTTCAATGGACTAGGGGCAGGGGGAAAAAAATAATTCAGAATACTCCTGCGATATTTTTGTGTGGTAGTATCGTATCGTTACACAGTGCCAAGTATTGATTTTTTTCATTATGTAAATTTTTACTACTACAAATACAAATCAGCTTTTGGCAGTCTACTAGAATAATATGATCATGATCAGTCCACTAGACACATTTCGCTGCAATAAAAATGACTGAAGTGAGATGAACAGACTGAAAACTTTATATTATTACATAAAACATGTTGACAAGATTTTCCTTTGGGGGCATAATTTATAGTTGAAATAAAATGTAATAAAGTGCAATATATCACAATATATTTTAACGCAATACTCAGCATATCACAATATATTTAAAATGGCAATAATATCATCTTGTGACTTAAGTATCGTAATAATATCGTATTGCAGATGTTCTAGTGATTCCCACCCCTACAATGGAAGCACTAACAACCTCCTTTTCTTGCGCTCCCAGTATCTTTTCAGTTAAGTTAAGTTCAAAGTCTCTTCAGTTTCCACTGTTATTATCAAAACGCTAAAGGGACATATATACTGATAGGGACAATACAATGCAACTAAACAAACCAGCTGGAGGATAGCGTTTGGTTACCATGGAGATAACTGAAACATTTCGCTGAAGCATGAATTCAAAATGTTGCACGGCCCTTTAATTTCTGTCAAGCCACACTCATCAAAAGTGTCGAGCGTCCTACCATAATTCAGGCTTCAAAGGTGTCAAGTTGTGTGTCAAAGAGTTAAACGCAGCTCCCAGGTTCAGCTGAGGACTCACACATTTCCTGTCTGATGAAGGCTTTGAAGAGATACTCTGATTGTTGTTTTATTGCTCAATTTGGCCAGTATCTGATGGGAGGAGTGACAAAAGATTGCTTATCTCTGTATATAAATGTCCTGTGCTAATGTTCGCACTTTATTACTTTATTATAATATTATCCTAAAAAATGAGAAGATGATAACTTTGGGTGATTATAATGAAATCTGCACAGATACACACCCACACCTGTCTGTAACTGCCAGGTTTATTTTAGGGAGTAGCTAAAAAAGACAGAAGACTGAACAAAAGACAGACGTTTCAAGATCTCTTTTCACAGAGACTTATTTTGATTTGTGCAAAAAAGTGGAAGAGTTAGCCAGTGTTTTCTGCTGTTGAATCATAATGGGCTTAACAAATGGTAAGAGAATTTACAAACCGAGATGTCACGGAACAAAAACTGATATTCTGAGAGCAGAGAGAGAGTGTGGTCTTTTAAGTGTAGATGGACAGGGGTGATTTTCTGAGGACAAAGCTGTTTTCACTCACTCATGTCCATTCAGAGGAATTCTCTCTTTGTGTGTTTTTATACCTGGTAAGAGTCGTTACTACAGACTCTGGAACAGTCTACTTTTAGTATAAAGGGCAATCAGAACAGGACCTTGTTCGGAGGGAGGTTTCTTGGTATTCTGGAGCATCTGTGACCTACTATGCTATGCAATTTTTCACATCTCCCTGATTCTGATCAGAAGTCAAAGACTTTAGATCGGTCTGCTGCATTTGTCTTTCTGTCTGTCTTAAACTCTTCTAGCCTGTCTCCTCTCTCGTGTTATGAGTCTCTGTTTATCTCTTTTTATCTACTGCATATCTCTCCATCCTTATTTATGTAGTTTAAGATAACAGTATACGATTCTTTAAAGGCAAGCAAACAAAAAAAAACATCCACTGTGACGCTGCAGTACACAGGCAACAAGTCTGTGTAGTAAATATCAATTCGGACTCTGCTATTTGTATCTCAAGTGACAAGCACAGTAGTTAGTGTGTGGAGGGAGTCAGCACTGTCGAATACAGCCAGAGGAAGTTGGCATTTTGAGCAGCAGAGGTTACCTATTTACACAGAGCTACAGGGCCGATGCTAACTGCCTACGCCAAAGCGCTGCGAGCTGAGAGGTCGACTGGAGAGGACAATAACTCAATGGTTGTGCAGTTTCTGCTGCATTATCATAAAACCTGTTTATATATGAGTGTGTGTGTGTGTGTGTGTGTGTGTGTGTGTGTGTGTTTTAAGAGAGAGGGGGCATATTAGTGTGTGAACTTCTGACTGCATGTGTATGTTCAGCTTGGTAAAGCTCCGTTTTGCCAGTTAGTGCCGAATGTGTGTTAATGCATTTATGCGAGTCTCTGAATTCACATGTTGTATGCATGTGTCAATATGTGGGTGGAATGTTAAGGTCAGACTCTACTGGTGTGCGTCTGTACAATATGTGCTACTATACGTATTTGTATGTATATGCCAAACCCTGCGTGTGCTTGCTTATATGTGTGTGTGTGTGTGTGTGTGTGTGTGTGTGTGTGTGTGTGTGACTGAGAGTGTGTAGTGCTGTGGGGGTGGTAAGGCTATGCGTTGCTAGTGTGTGTCACATTAGCCATGGGGTGCTGTCGGCGGGACCCAGCGGCAGCCCGCTGAGGTTTATGGAGTGTCACTCAGTCGCCGCAGCCGTGAATCAAGTTAATGTTGCAGATCCCATCTCTTCAGTTGTCCTGCGCTCCCGGTGGAAGAACAACATTTGAACAGCGTGATTTGGCCCTGGCGAGAGGCTGATGCCTGTTTAATATGTGTTTTGAGTGTTCTGACTGACTGATTCCTTTAACAGGAAGTAGGAGAGAGGATGAGAGAGAGGGAGAGACAGGCTGCTTTATTGGCTGTGATCTGAAACAAGATGGAGGCTCCCTGAGAGGAATAAAACAACAGGAGGAAGAAAAGGATGCAGAGACAGGCGGTGATGTCATTTTGATTTCCAGATGACAGGAGAGTCTTACATTAAAACTGAGTCACTGACTAATGATAAACTCGTACAGAGCTCAGAGTATATGTGGGGGGAATTTTACTTATTATATGCACTTAATGAATGCTAATTCTCTGCACAGCAGATTTAAACATCCTGCAGAGGTATGTGAATGCCATTTTATTTCTCTATACAGATGACTGGTTCAAGTGAGAATAGGGCTGGCACAAAATCAAGTTTCACAACTCGATTATCGTGGCAAAGTGTGTTCATGATAAGGCTATTGTTGCGATATTTATAGAAAATTAGCAATCAGTCAAAATAATCTTTGACTTGTTCATTGTGTGTTTTGTG